GGAATCACTTTGCAAATAGTAATTGTCTTAGTGCAAGTCTATTTATTTTGGGTCTAAATTCTAAGATAATCTAAGGTGTTATTTACCCCCCGTGGTTGGTTTATTATACAAGTGAATAGAAGATGGATTTGTAATTTTCCACCTTCACCCGACATTTGAAACTCCTTAAGTATCACTGATCAGAGATTATACAAATATGCATTGGTTGAAAGTAGACATGTTTTCTGGACTTCACACAGTTAATTATAACTACTCACATGTCGTGAAAAGCTGTGTAATTTTCTGCCCATTAATTTATTTCCCAAACGTTCAAAAATTAGTTCTTAACTTCGACCTCTTAACTGGAACTAGCTACATCTGGGTATGGGATGTTGTGTTTTAGGCATTGTATGATAATATTTTTTTCACTTCCCTTGAAATTTTACACAACATTGTTGTAGTTTGTGTTCTGTTTGCTTTATTTTTGATAGATTTTATGGGTCATTAGAGGTGCTAAAAAGGTACTTTGGGTAAATCTAGTCAGAAAAATTATTCTGCCATATTTTTACCATTGGAAGGCTGTATAATCAAACTAGTATATGTTTTGGTGATACATTACATGTACAAGAGGTTCCAAGCGATGCTGCAAATAATTATGAATCTTAGAGTTTCTAGTGACTAAAACATGGAAAAGCATCTAAGATTTTGATATTTCATCATTGTAATAATCTAAACAATCATGCATAGCATAAGGATCATAAATATAATATGATCATCTGCAACTGCAACATTAGTTTTCTTGGGGAAACATCAGTTGAGGAATAGATCTTTTATTTCTTTTGGTAACTTTACGGGTTTCAAATCATTAATATTACAATTCACAGCATGCTTTCAATTAAATCCTTCCCCAAAAACAGCGAAAAAGAACTAGAACTGGAGTAAACTCTGGTGGAGCTTAGTCTGAAATTATGAAGTTTGGTAGGATTTTATGAGTAATTTTAAGTAACTGATCTTAAGGGAACAATAAAGTGAGCACTCATCTCACAATTGCGTGACTGGCTGCAGGTGACCAGTTCTGTTTCATTATTGTGATAATGTTAGAGAAACTTTTGAGTAAAACCTGAATGGATTTAAACTGGAGGTGACCAGTTCTGTTTCATTATTGTGACAATGTTAGAGAAACTTTTGAGTAAAACCTGAATGGATTTAAAATTGCTAAATGTTACAATTCGTACCATGATTTCAGATGGAATCCTTATCTGAGAAACAGAAATTAAATTAAAAAAGAACACAAAAAATGGGGAAAGCACATGCATAGCACTAGATACATCACACCACCAAGATTGTAACAACTAGGAAGTTATTTATCAAAACTATGCTATTTTTACTCATAGATTGGTAATGTTGCTATCTGCCTTGTATGTCACTAATACTAACTTCGTTGTTAGAAAATAATCTTTGATTCTCTTCTGGGGTCAATTGATTCAATATACTCTGCCATTGGATGAACGCAGGTTGCCTTGGAGGAGGAAGATTGACAATCTCACTATTAAGCATAGAAACTACAGTGCTCATACCTGGCCTCTCTATTGCAAGGTCTTGTACACACAGAAGTCCTATGTGTATGCACCTCAATATATCCTTCTCCAGGTTTTGATTAGATGTTTTCGGGTCTATTAGCTTTACAATGTTCCTTCATTCCATAATTTCCATGCCTAAAACACATAACAAAAGAATCATATATAATTATTACCTTTGGAAGCCTTAGAGCTGAGAGTAAAATCAATAATTAATAATAGAACTTTCTAATTAGGTATTTAGGAAGTTAATAAAAAGTAGAGACTTACAAATCCTAGAAGGCTAAGAGAGTGCTCATTATTATAAAAGCTTGAGTTTCTTCTTCCACTTATAATCTCTAGTAGTAAAACTCCAAAGCTAAACACATCTGATTTCTCTGAAAATATCCTTCCATAGCATATTCTGGAGACATATAGCCACTGCATATTTTGAGTAAAACAAATAATTGTTATAGTACTCACTAGTTAGTATGCTACTATAATATTAGATAGGGAAGGAAAACTTACTAGGTTCCGACAACTCTTCTTGTGTTAGCTTGATCTTCACTTCCTTTGAAAATTCTAGCCATGCCAAAATCTGATATCTTTGAATCAAGTTCTCATCTAGCAAGATATTACTTGCCTTTAGGTCCCTATGTATAATTTTTAGTCTAGAGTCCCTATGAAGATAAAGTACTCCTCTAGCTACTCTACTACTCCTTCAATAATGACAAAACGCTTTCCCCAGTCTAGAAGTTTGCTTTTCTCTGGATCTACAATAGTAGAGGAGAGGGTTATATAAGTTTTGTCCATACCATAAAGAAAACTCAAATACCTGTAAGAAAGACTGTTACAAAACAATGTTGTCTTGTTCCCTTAATTATGCATATGACTAGAAAGAGCTAGAGCATAAGGGATCAGAAAAACCAACCAAAAATAAATGCATCCAAACTTTTATTTGGCATGTACTCATAGATCAACATCTTTTCTTCTCCTTCAATACAACAACCTAAAAGTTTTACGAGATTACGATGTTGAAGCCTGGAAATGACAATCATCTCATTCATGAATTCCTCTTGTCCTTGTCCAGATGCTCTTGATAATCTCTTAACTGCTATATCCTGACCATCTTGGAGTGTTCCCTTGAAGAAAATCCCATTAAACAGTTGTTACACATAATGAATTTGATTAAACTGATTTTTTTTTTTTTGCCATTAAACTGACTAATAATTCATGAATTAAATACCTTATAGACAGGACCAAAACCGCCTTGCCCAAGTTTATTGGTCAATTGAAAGTTGTTTGTAGCCATTGCAACCTTTTCAAAATCATAGACCAATAACTCCTGGAATTTAACTTGTGACAATTTTCCAATAATATTGCCGCTTGTTGTTGTCTACATTTGCACCATCCCTTTTTAACAAGACCTGTTTGCTATGCCGTTTTCCTGCTGGTCGTATGAATTTAATGTATTTACAGGGAGAAAGAGATGGAAGTGCTTCATTTGAAAAATGTGGAAACATGACTAACCAGAAGACATCTACCTATATGAATATTGCTTTTGAAAATGCCTTATATATTTAAATCCTGAATGCCTATGTCATTTTAAAAGCTAATAGATGTGGTAGGATTTGAAACTAAGATGATATGAAAAGGAATAATACCTGAATGTTTTGCCTTCCATTTCCATAAGAAGCATGAACAAGTGACACTGATAATGATAGTTCCTATTACTGCACAATGATAATGATGAATGTTCTATGCCTCTTCTTATCGTGATGAAAGACAAAGGTAAGGAAATTCATGCCAAAAAATAGAGTTAAAAGAACTAAATTTCAAGTATTCTAAGAAAATTTAGATACCAAAGTCTGACTTGGCTGCACGAATATATAAAGTCAATTCCTGCATTTGAGAACTGTTGTATGTCAATTAGATTTTCTTTCCAAGTCATACAGCCAAGCACTGAATTATATGAATATGCTTTACAAGTGCAGTTTCTCCAAGCAATGGGTTCTACATTCATCTTCTGAATGAGATGATTGTTCTCCAAAGTTTGGTGCTTTAACATTTTGCAGATGAAAAAGGTATCTTCCCTTTCCATTGAAACTCCCATTTTTCATTTCCTCACATCGTCGAGTTGATTTCCCACACAACCACCTGTCCAATTTTGTCTATTCCATTCCTCATTATTTCTTGGTTCAAACCCACTCAAACAACTGCAGATTGGTGCGCTCTTTGAATTGCAAATTCCGAATTCCCCACATATACCATAGACATCACACAATCTGAATTTTGAAAAAGATTTGTTTCTAGCCATCTCCTCTTAGTATCATCCCATTGTTTATGTAATAACTTCCCTTTTGCATTCAAAACAACTATCTCTTTGATGTCAGACCCATTTGATAACCTAACAACCATCTCGTCAGCACCATTATCATACTCGGAACTCATCCTGAGGACTGTTGTAAGGCCTTGGCCATTCCATGGACCACTACGCCAATAGGGGCTAGTTCCATTCCATATGAACAGTTCTGCAAAATTTAGTTGTTCTAGGCTCATAGAAAAATTGCCAACGGATGGATCAGACTGATTTTTCCATGCTGTTAACTTTTGTTTCTCCCTGCTCTTTCGTTGCTTGTAATTTTCATGCTTGGCAACAATGTATCTGAAGGATGCTCAAAACTTTGCCATATGGTTTTCGTCAAGTTATCGGTTAGGACAAGGTTTCCAGAATCTAAAATCTGAAAACTAGTAGTAGATGAAATATTTGATACATTTGATGACCAAATGGTTTGGTTTTGCCCATCTAATACGATAAGATTGCCATCTTCAGATACCTTAAAATTCCTGAAGTATCCCTTAATGGTCGATTTCTGTTAGCTGCCCATACAATAGTTGAATTGGACATGTACCAAATTCCCACATAGCGATTTGTGGAATTTTCTGGACTGAAGAACCCTAGTGTGAACAAACCCCCTTTGGAGCTTATTGTATTTGGATCCTTGATGTAATGAGATGTTGTGATGGTTTCCGTGCATGATGAGGAGCCAGAAGTGTCCCAAATCTGTGTAGGGTGATTCACAAAAGGTGATATTATAATCTGCACCTTGACACGGGACATGCTTAGATGATCGTCTTCCGGGTAGCTATAGGCATGTTGGCAAACGCTCTTGTATACTTCTGCAGAAGAGGAGGGCTTGGCAGGCCTGTTGGGCACAAGTTTCATAGCCATCTGCCGCACAAGGGCCCCTGCACGCCACCACTTTCCATCTTTGCTCATTACCCTCAGCTCTGAAGGGCATAGTTTGATCATATCTGCCAGACAATATGTGCTCTTGCATTCTCCACAACCACCGTGAGGAACAACCGCTACAGGAACATTGAACCCACCTAGCAAGCTCACGTCATAAAAATCAAGCCCTTGGAATTGGCCAACAGAAATTTCTATCAATGTCGCAGGTGGTGTGCCTTCCCTGCCTTTGCATTCCAGCTTCTCGGAGCCACAGTCACCGGTGACACAAGAGAAGTTTCCAGTGGAGTCTTGTGCGCACTGAGTTCGACCCCACAAACGGCCAATCCAAGAAGTTGGCACAGAGATGATCCTAGACTCACCAGTTTTAAGAACAAAACCGGTGGTTGATAATGGATTATTGTCACCACTTGAAGCAATGCCTGGCCACACTGTGTAGCTGCATTTGTTAACCACTGTGAACTTTGTTGAGGTTACACCTGCAAAAGGAATATCAAGAGACATCAGGCTCAGTAGTGTTACCTTTGCTAGTCTTAATTTCCACTTATGATTTACAATTACCTGATATGGATTGGAGAAGGGCTATTGAAAACAAGAACAATTGTGTTGGCTGATCCATGTATATATGATCATAAAATCTGTATGTTCATAATAGAGAACAGGCTTATATCTCAGCAGAAGCACAGCATTGGAATCTTCAGGATGCTAGCGCCGTGAATGAAGGATCCACTTTGTTTTTATAGTTTTCTTCTATAGGTCCCATCTCTTGAGAGTTAGTGACTAGTCAATGGACTTGTTTCCTTATAGAAAGGTGCCAATTTTGACCAAATACTGATTATAAGAAATTAGATGAAGTAACGTTAACGGCGGCATCAATCCAAACGTAAACCCCACGGAATGGGACCTATTGTTTCTTTTACTTCAATATGTATCTCCTCCTTTCAATATTGAAATAATGGATATAAAATTTCAGTTCAGGCAAATCGACGTTATATAAGTGTCTAATATGTTTTTGTTTTTATAAACAAGAGTGTGATTATTGAAGGCATTTTGCTTTCATCCTAAAAATAATAAGAGTAAAATACATTTACCTTGTATTAGTTTTTCAGAGTTTAATTTTCATACCATTGAAATATTTCATTAAAAATTATAAAATATATTTTTATTGATTAATATTTGGGATAAAGAATTAAAATGATTAATCTTCCCTTATATTTTGGTTGTTCATAATAATGTTATTTTTTTAAAGGATTTTGAGCTAAATATTCTTATATCTCGGTCTGTCTACATAATTCTCCCTAAAATTAAAATACGCCGTTATGAAGGAACCTAGTAAGGTTTCAATTTTTTAAAACTTTATGCTAAAAAAATTTAAAATATCGAGATCATAAAAAGCATTTAACATACAAAATTATTTTAAAAATCAAAGATACGCTATGTTTTAGGATATTTTATCGTCAGATTTTGAAAATATGTCAAATTTCAAGAATGTTAACAGTCTTCGTTTAGTCAATAGCCATAAATTTTACGAAATATAAAAGTAACTTTTTAGAATTTAATGATAAATTTCTTAAAATCTTTTAATGATCGTAGTCTTTCATATTTGACATAGAAACCGTGTAAATTTTGAAAGACATCAATATTTTTGTGGACAAAATGACACGATTGTTAAGATACATGAAATTTGTGACAAACCAACTCTGGTCCATGAGTTTAGGCGGTCCGCCACAAAGCGCGTTTCTCTTTTGCAATATACAAGTCAATAAAGCATGCCCAAAAAAAAAAAAACTCTCACTAGCTTTCATAATCAATCATCAATGGTTACCACTTACCAGGTCACTTTCAACACCTCAAATACTATTGGCTTCTTGTAACAATGGGCTTGCTTGATGCCTTGTAGTTACATTATTTTATGGAAGTAAGTCTACAGATTTGTTTGTAATGTGCATGAACAAGGGACGGCTGTTGTAAGTAGTGACTGGTGCTTTGGGCGGTCTCCCATCACTTGCTAGAGCTTGGACCTACTGTCAAATCTAGATTTTGTTTTTTTGGGGTTTTTTGTCTTTGACTGTTCTAGGCTTTTTACTTATTTTATGTTTGTTGGGGCATCTTAGTTTTATACTTTCTATTTGTGGTAATCTTTTTTCTTTTTCATTATACACGTTTTCTCTGTTGTTTTCTTTTTCTTTTTTTAATCAAAACTGAAAATCTATTACTTCACTAGAAAGAACACAACGAAAGAAAACATCAAAACTAGCCACCCTTCATCACCTCTCCACCTCCAAATGTCTTAAAGGTGGAGGATGATCAATGATATAAAAATTTCCAGTAAGCCGTGTGATTGCTTAGCTAAGTAGTTAGCTGTGGCAATCCTATCCCTAGTAGCATGATGAATCAAAGCTTGCCAATCCCTAAATACATAAAACAAGCTTCATCAACAACATCTCTAAACAGATGAGATCTATCACATCCTTTAGTAATCATATTAATAGCTTCTATACAATCAGTAAAAAAGTTCAATCTTTCTATAATCCCGATTCTAATAGAGGCTTAGGCCTTTGATGATGCCAATTACCTCAGCAACGGCTGGGAAACGGCTATGAGTTTACAACTATAACCACCCAGCCAATTCCCTTTATCATCATAAATTGTTCCTCCATAACCCACTTTGTTCATCATCTAAAACAAATCCATCCGCAAGGCCTTGAACAAAACCTTCTTTGGGATGGTGATTAGCAACTTCCTGTGAGCAAAAATGGTTATAGAAAGACCAATTCATTAGCATGTCTTGGTCTAGCAAGCTCTAAATAGACTCGGCAAGACTGTCTAATTCTCTTCTGATGTTCCTCTATCAAAAAGTTTGTTACATCAGGAAGTCCATATATCCCAACATACATATCCAAAAAGAATGGCCAAGAGATCTTTTAGTGAAATCTTTGCCATTTTCATGTTGTAAATTCCATTTAACCCAGTTAGCGCCTAGTAAGTCCGTAAAACAATTCAGCTTTGATGGAGATAAAAAAAGACCCATCTCTCCTTAGCATCTACACAGTCCTTTATCATATGCATGGAGTCTTCTTCTTGATCACATCCAAAGGGATATGTAGATCTGTTATTAATGCCGTAATGCTCCTCTACTGCACTACATTGTCTGCTCTTTGTCAAGTACCTAAAAAAAAAAAAAACAATATGCACATTTGATAGGAAAACAACCATTAGGAAAAAGTTTCCATAGGAATTTATCCTTTCCTCTC